AAGTGTATGTTAAATGCTGCGAACTCGTTCATATCATTACAAAATTTTGGCAGAACTGGGTGTTGGAGACCCATCAAGAAAAATTGTGGAAATGATCTTTCAAAAAGCTTGGCTCAACACATCAAAGCCACTGAAAAAGGTTAGAACAGTCCTCAGGGTGAGCTACTCAGAAGAAGTCCTTGAAAGGTTTGAAAAATATAGAGAAAATGTGAAGAAGGTGGCCTCTGAGCAATATCCAAGGCATCCAAGGAGCACAGTTGATGGGAATGAGCTGTTGCGGTTCTATGGTACTACAGTGAGATGTTTACATGGGAAATCTACGAAGAGAGTTCATGATCTTTGTAAAGATCCATCTTGTTATCTATGCCAAATAATTCAGTTTAATTTCAAGATACAATACGCTCACTTGAATGCGAGTGACAAAGAGTTAAGTAACAGAGCAACTGCCACTGCCAGGGTACATAGCGTGAAAAAAGCTGCAATAATTTGCAGGATAATTGCTGGAATTCCAGAAAATGAAGTTGATGGTGAATATGAAGGACCTGGCTCAACTGGGTTAGGAGAAATGCAGTTTAGCTTAGAAAAATTTGTAGTAAAAAATCCCAGTTCTATTCTTCCTTGTTTTGTAATAATTTTCAGCTAACAAGTTTTGCAGGTGTAAATTGTCATTATTCTTTTTATCTTTGTAAGGGGTATCATAGAAAAATACATAATACACGTTAGTACTGGAATTATTGTAAGGGGGATCTAAATTTTATGTATCGTTTTTGCTGGTACTGGAATTATTGACATAAATATAGTGTGTTCTAACAAACTACAGAGTAGTTTGACTTTGAAACGAGGAATTCTGCTAGGATTAGGATGATACATAAACTAACAAAAGTCTGCAATAACAAATATGAACCAGTTGCTTTGGATCATCACCTCCAAGCACAAGAAGTAATAAGAGCTTGATTCATCCAACCAAGACATAGAGCTCCATCTCTCTCTTCTAGAGTGTAATGTCCTTGGTAGCTTTGCTGAAGATTTATAATCGAACTGGTAATAAAGGAGTTCAATGGATATGGTGAGAATCCAGCCATGGTGAAACGTGATCTCCAGTTCTTGAGAAGCTCGTGACGTTCCACTCTTTCTGCCCCTTCACATGCTACTAAGTTGACAACTTCACGAGCCAAACAGTGCTGTTCCACGTTAATCCTTTCTTTGTTATCCCTTGGAAGAGCAACATCAATTGATTCGAAAATAGCCAAGTAGTAGTTCATTGTCTCAACAAAACGGGGAAAGAATGGGAGGTTGCTGGTATGTGATTCTTGCTCAACTAGTGTCACGATCTTTGGAGACAAACACTTTGCGAGTCTCAACAACCGGCCACGATGGTTCTGACCATCCACACTTTCATCTGGAAGATGGTGCAGCATCATGGCAAAATTCACAGCAATAGCTTCACCAGGTCGAAGTTCAAGGTCTTTAATTTCAACCTCAGTGGGAGCAACTTCTAAGGCACGGAACTCAAAGGGTACATTATATGATTGTGCAAGTGCTGACAACCTTTCTCCCACAATTTCAAGACCTCCTTCCCTGGCATAAGCTGAAGTGGAGTCATCAAAACCTGTTATTCTGATCTTGGGGGGTCCTCCATGTCTGCCAGCAAGAGCTTGGATTAGGCTCACCCATTGTATTCCCTGGTTTATCTGAAAATCAATTATGTGGACTTCAGTTTCCCCCTTCATGACTTCAGCAATAGCTCCATTTGCAGACATGTAACCAAATTTGAGATATGGGCTGATTTCATAAAGTAGGTGCATGTGTGAAAGGAGTTCCCTACCAGTAGGCTCTTTACATTTCAAGGCTTTGTAGATTGTGCTTCCTGAAGAGGCCAGTCTTGCAACAAGAGCCTCCAACATGTATGCCCCCAATCGTTGGATTGGGTTGCCAGAAACTGAGACCATTTTGCGTAACTCTGACATCAACCATTCAGTTGTCTCCATATCATTTCCTGCCACTGCTATTGCACATGCACAAAGCATCTCTTTCAAATCCCCTCTAGATATCATCTCCATCATTTTCTTCCACCTTTCTGCCTCTAGCAAAAATGAATCAGATTCCTCCGGAATTACAGTATCATACATATCCAGAATATCTGCATCATGTCCCAACATAGCACTTTCAAGCTCTCTTATCTTGTGCCTCAGCTCATTGTCATTATGCGTCAAACATGATTCATTTTCTATTGAGTCATTAGTAATTTCAAGAGAACTATGTGAACTCAACACATATGATTTTGGTTGTAGCTTTGAGAGTGGGCTATGGTTAGGTGAGAAGCTGACAGTAGTTGGGGAATTTAGGGAAGGAAAAATGTTCTTTGTAGAAGATTCCAGGGTGCAATATTGCTCTAAAGTACGAACAGAAGGGTAGGTTGCATGGCTACTGTTATCAGAGGATGAATAGTAGTCTAGGTTCTCACTTTGTAGGAAGCAGCATGACCCAAGATTTTGGACAGCCTCGTAGGACATATTATGTTTCTGAGACATTTGCATTTGAAAATTAACCAGTTCTTTGAATATACGTAGAAAACACCAACACCAATGTGTTTTTCTAATATAAACAATCCAAACTTAAGTGTTCTCTCCTTTTTTGGAACAAGAATTGTTGGTGCTATTTAAGCTGTGCTCGTTGTCCACATTTTACTCAAATTCCAGCTGAATTTGACCACTGTACTCGAAATCTGTGATATTCTGCAGAAATGGTGACACAAAAATTAAAGCAACAAAGTTAGATAACAAAATAACGAGAGCAATAACTATATAAAACAAGAACGCAGTCTCAGAACTGAAAGAACAACAAGCAGGTAGAGTTGAGGCTATTGCCTAAAATTAGTATTCTTTTGAGGTCAGAAACCAAGGTCTTTGGAATATATTGCTCAAATAAAGTCTAGAAACCAGTAAAAGCAGAGTTGGATTGTTTATTGAAGACCTAAGAGAGTGTCTGATTTTTCACAATCCTCATGCATACAATAGCTCTTAAGATATGTACAAAACTGCGATTTTATCATTTTATACGAATCTTTTCACAATTATTACTTATCAGCCTCTGCTTTAGTTTTTAACTTTCCACCATGTTATTGTTTGTCTTTCAAATTTGATGCAATCTAGAAATGGAGATTAGCTTGATAAACCAATTAAATGATGAATCTTGGAACACCTGCTGCTACTTAAAAGGAAGAGCTTTTTTCATTCTTTGTCCCATTATTCCTTCTTCATTATAAAAGTGAAAAGATAGGATTGTTCAGAAAGGCATCCCATATGCCATTCATGATTTTCAATTCCTTAAAGAAATAATACTCAGAAGATCCATTTGTATTTTCTTGAACTCAAACTTGAAACATGCTCAAAACTTCAACTCAACTACATAGAAAGGTGAATAGGGACTTCCTAGTTTAAACCAAAAAACGTTTAAGGAATCAAATACAAATAGACTCCAAGTTCAAACACACAGAAATTCTGAAAAATCACCCTGTTTACTCAACAAAATCCGAAGTGTTCCACTAAACTTTTCCCTAAGAAAACAGAAAAGCAGGACAAAAAAAGCGAAAAATCAGCAAGCAATTCTCAAACTTCAAAGTGATTGCTCCCAATTAAACATACCATATTGAAAGTTAATCAGCAACCAATTCTCACAAACTCAATAACTGCCATAAAAAGCAACTTTTTTCTTCACTGGTCAATAAAACAAGAAGCTGCTTCTCCTTCAACGACAACTTAACTAGCACAGACACTTGTATGGTAAAATATGTAAAATCAGTTTCCTCCCATAACATCATCATACAAAAGAAGATCAGCAAATACTTTCAGAGACTCTCACCTTAACTGAAAAGGAAAGCATGATCTGCACTTTGAAGCCAAAACAACAGAGAACAAATCCAAGGACGAAGCACTTCTGCAGCTAGAAGTAACCGGGGCTTGTCATGCATGTGGGCTTTTGTTTATTCAAGAATGGAGGCAAGACCAAATACAAGGTTGTTGAGTGCTATATTTTATAGAAAACGTTTACTTAAACAACGAAAAAGTCTTTTTTTTTTGGCTCATGAAATTACTTTTAAGCCACTAAACTAACGTATTCAATCACGTCTAAATTTTATCTCCCAAAGTTTTCGTTTACTCGGAGTCAATAAACTTAGTTAAATTCCTGTAATTTCTATTAATCTCCTCTTAAGCTTATTTTATTTCTTCATTTTTCTAAACTCATTTTCTTACTGCTCCCTCAATATGAAACTAAATAGCATCTAAATTTTAACACAACTTAAAATTCTCTATTAAAGAATAAAATTAATTTTGTTTATTAAAATAAGATAATATATATATATATATATATATTAATATCATATTTTTTTAAAAATTACTTTACATATTCACCTGTTAAAATTATTAATGCATAACAAAGAAGTATGAAACTGTTGTGTTCTATCTGGTTCAAACTGTTCCAAATGCTGACACACGTGCATGACGTGTAAACATTTTTAATTTAGATTTTAAATTTGTTTATTGAAATTATAGATTTAATATTTATTCTTTGCCTCTCACTCATCACTGTTTTCCAGGTAAAGCAAACCCTAAAGATATACTATGTGGTTTCTTACATCAATCAAACATCTTCCACATCAATAGAAGTAATTAATTTTGATCGACATGAAGTTTGGTCGGCGATTTCTCTTGTGTTCTGTGCGTCTCAGAAAGGCAAAAGAAAGTGTGTGCGTGTGCTGTCGTAAAGGTGGTTGAATCGTGTTTTTTCCATTGACCCCACACGCTTTCCCATTCTAAATATCATTATGGTCAAGCCATATTCAAGCTGAAAATTTTAACTTTACAATTTAAATTACTAACTCTACTTAATATATATTTACAAGTATTTTTGACGCAGACATAGATTATAAATTTTGAATTTGTTTAAAAATGTGTCTAAACGATATAAACAACTCAAATGCTATCATGAAACGCACATGAAACATCAAATAAACCTAACAAAATTTAGTTAAAATGACTAAATTCACACATTTTTAAAGTCTGGGGACTAAATTAGGCAAAAATTTTGAAGATGGACTAATTCCAATTTTCACTAAAAGTTAAAGACCAAAAACATATTTAACCCTTTGTTTAACATGCAAACTTAACTTATCTTCAATAAATATCATATTTTTAAGATATTTGAGTGTTAAATTAAAAAATAAATAAATGGTTAATGATTTATTTAGTTTTTAAATTTTAAATTTTTACGTAAAATTAAAATTTATTTCTATTATAAATTTTGATATAATTCTCAAATTTAAAAGATGAATAAATATAATTTTTATAATTTCATTTTCTTTTAAAAAAATTTAACTAGTAAAATATTAGGCATGAACATTTTCAACTTAAACTAAAATATCATTAAACACATAAAATGAAATTTTACGTTATTAACTTAAAATGATTAGATTTATTATTTTTTAAATTTTAGACTAAAATATATTAAAATAAACTTTAATTTTGCATCTAAATTTAAAGAATAGAAATGTATATAATTCAAAAGTAAATAACTAGAAATGACTCTCATAAATTGGTCAACTAAATTGATCCATTCTATTAAATTATCCGCACAATGCGATGGTTGATACCAAATTATACATTTAATTAACCACCAACTCCACGTTTTTGGGTTCAATTCAACCACTTTTACGAGCAATCGCACCGACATGCATAAATGTATCTTTATCTGTTTCACATCAGAATTAATGCTGCATTTCTTTTCTTTCTTTTCAGTCTTAAAAACCCGTTTTTTTGTTATCCAGTTCTGAAATTTTAGTTTATTTGAACTAAACTGTCTTCACTTTGTTCTTTTCCGTTTGTTCTAACTTTCAATACCATAATTATTGCCCATGTCATAAATCATAATATACGATGACACGATTCTATTGTCAGCCATACGTCATACATTTCTAATGGCTATCATTTTCTTCTTTTTTTTCCACTTTTGTTTTACGGCTACTCAATAATCGCAAGATTGGTGCACGTTAATGGAAGATTGACCAGTGTTTTGTGAATTAGTCAAATGACTTTAAAATTTCTCAGTGTTGACTAATATTGCAGAAAAAAATGACTAATTTTCATTAGCATTGACCAATTGCAATCAACTAGTGTGCTCCAATTGATGTGATATTCAACTGCGATTTGGTAGAGTTTGAGCCACAGATTGGACGCATAGTGTATGGATAGTATGATGGTCCGGTTAATATAAGGGTGAACGATTTTATTAGTCTAAAATTCTAAATGAGTCTTTAAATTAATTCAATTCTTGAGTTAAATAAAGATTAATGTTAAGATGATTGCATCAAAGTAAGATATTATTAATTAAGTCATAATTAATTAGATTGACTAATTCAAAATCTATTTCAAAATTTATAAATATAAATTCGAGATATTTTAATAAGTTGATTCCATTTATTATGTTGCTAACACTATTAAATTCTTATTGATTTTAGAATAGGATTACCTTCAATTCTCCTGTTTATGATAACAAGTATAAAGCAAATGTAAAGCAAATGAAAAACTTTGAATGTGTTTAGATTTTGAAAACCAGAAGAATTGACTTCGATCCCATGAACCGAAAAAGTAAAGAATTCACGGTCATCACATCACCTCTTGCTCCAAAGCAAGAAAACATACCCAATAAAGTTACAAAAATTTGCAGTTGAAGTCCATCAATAATATTAAAATTTCCATTGATGATACAAAAACATTGAAGTCCAAAAGAGTGGCTGTACCAACTCAAGCACCAAGCCAAGGATTCTTAAATGTAAAGCAGAAAAAAAAGAAAATAGAGAAGACAGGGAATAATCACCATACAACCATAATTACTAACGTGGCCCTTAAATTTTTGTCACTAAAGTCTTACCTTACTGCAAGATCCACGCAGAGAGATGGTGATGCACTGTTCAGAGTCAATATGATCAAGTCATGAAAAAGTTATCAATTATGTGAGACTACAGACCAAAAAAGTAGATGAAGATAAGAAGTGAAGATTTTGTCACAGATTCGTGCAGACTAATTTCGGTAGCCAAGGGTCAACTCACAATTACTCCTATCTGTCATAATGACACAATGAAGTCTGCATAATTTGAAAAGAATCTTCTTATGGAGTTGGTATTGATAAAGAACGATTTTATGTAATGTCAGTGTCCTTTAGTACACTTGGCCCTTTTAGCAGAATAAATGCTTAAGAAAACAGATTTTGACCACCTTAATCCGAGGTACATTATTTGTGGATGGAACAAACAAATCAACCTTAAAATGATAATCTTCCCTTGAGAGACTTTACACGAGGAAAATGGTTTTCGATTCTTGGTTTTTTCAATGAATAGCGAAATGGACACGATTGGTGTAAAAGATGTATACTATTTGGATAAGGGATGAGAAAAAACAGCTAGGAAACCAAGCTTCTACCACTTTCACAAATCGTTTAAGTATTGAGACTCCGCAAACATGTCTCCGTTGCTGCACATTTTTTTTCCTTGTGGGCATATCAATAAGGTAGCAAATACCATTTCTCTCAGAAGGAAATTACAATGTTTCTAATGAAAATGGTAGTTGGTATTGCAAATAGCTTTACTATGTTGTTTACGTTTGTGTATGATAGAGTATTCTCACAAACATTGAGTCTCTGTTAAATAAATTTGTCATTATTGAAGTATGGTTTTTTTGTACAACGCTGTAGAAACTAGCCTGAAAAGAATCTTTTCCAGGACTGCCAAGGAAGGAATCCACCTGCAATAGAAAGCATGGTAAGGACTGCAAGATAATGAATTATACAGGTGGTTGGGTAGATCAACAATACATAAACCGGAAAAACAAATTAGGAAAACAAAGCAACGAGACATAAAGCTCTTCATACTCTACGAAGCATGGACACGGATGCCTTGTCCTGTGTACGGCATATGCCTGGTGTAACTTATAGTTCATACTTACGATCATAATTTGCCAAATTTCTATATCAATTTCATACTTTTCTTCCTTTTCGTTTATACTTTCAGAGTAATAAAGGGTTTGAAAAGTGATACCAATAACTTAAACGTGTAGCAAGAACCTGCTGGGATACCAACCTAGAAGAGTTTTTGAGAATTTATCTGTTGAAAAGAAAAACTCTAAACTTCTAATAGAAAACCTTGACACTTTTAATGAAAAAAACTCTTGAAATGTTCTACGTGATATTGAAGTGACACTGCTGGAGTGAAATTACTGAAGAAATGCTAGAATTGACCAATGTATCACTTGTCACAGCTCCTCACAACCAAAATGAAAGGAATTGTGGACCCAAAGGGGAAGGGCCTATGAAAAATCTCCATTTAAACACCAAAATATTCTCAGGTTGACAATGGATATTCAAATTAGCTTGGTAATGCAAGGTTTCTACAATTCCTAGGTATTCAATGTACATCCTAGTAGGTTGTAGTTGTCCCAGCAAACATGAGATTTTAAATCTTCTTACATTCAATATTTTGAGTTTGATGTTCAATTACTGGACACATCAGAAATTAATTAGGAATATTTCAGAGTGATACATTGAAATTCTACCACCTGCATACTTAATTGCTTGAACACAGTACAAGACATGAGAAGAAGTGAATGCAATCATACCACATTCTGGGCAGCGGAAGTATTCCTTTTCCCTTAGAACAAGCCCCGACCCACCACACTCCTCACATCTTTTTTGAGCTATCTGTAACAGCATCCAACATTGAAGACATGAAACACACCAGTTTCATACCTAATGACTTACAAACAAGTCATAAACTCAACCAAAGGAGTGACTTACAATTCTTTTGCGAAATTCGATCCCTGCCACCACAAAAGGGGTAACCCCAGCTGAAAAATTCAAACCCAAAGAAAATCAAATCCCAATTTCTTACACAAAAACACCATTCTCTTTCCATCAATATAAGGACAAAACACAAAACAGCTAAAAGGATCTGCCTTTAAGATTTGTTTGTCCCTTAGATAAGAACATTTCTAGAAAAGTGAAAACTTAAAAGGTTGTGATTGTGAGTTAAGGTACCTATAGCTCCGACCACAATTTGCCAGGTGACTTCCACCGGAGCTGGATCAAATACCGTGATTATATCTTCCACATTCGCAGCACTCACCCTTACACTTCTTCTTCTACTTTCATTCTTAACCAAAACATTACAACCTTGTCTCCCAGACACGCGAGAGATCCGAGACACTCTGCTCCTAGTTTTTACACTCCCCAATGAAAGAAGAGACAAAGAAGACGCTGCAACTGCTCCTTCCATAGTTAACTAACTCCCCAACCTCATTCATTTCACACTTCACAGCACCACAACCGTTATAAAGAATGCCACGTGGGCTTTTTTAGCCCACGGGCTCGCGCCACCTACGCGTTATTTTGTGTGACTCATGTTCCAGATATGGTTTTAAGTAAAAACGACACCGTTTTAGATAGAAAGAGGATAAACCTCTGGTATTGCAGAGAGAGATTCTGACTTAGGGTTTTGGAGTATATTCTTTTCTGTTTCTCTTTAGCAATGGCTGCTTCTGTGTCTCTCTATCCCTATAAACCCCTGCTATACTTTTCGACTCCTTCATGTTTTCAGTCTCAATTTCGGAACTTGGAGAGAGGGCATTTGGGTTCTGCAAGGTTGAAGAGTATAGTGAAACTTGCAGCACATTCAAATCCGAAAATTCTCAAGACCAACAGGAAGTCAAAGTATGGAGAGGCACTGTCGCTGTACGATAGTGATGAAGACGATGAAGAAACTGACGAGGAGGAGGACGACGAAGATGATGATGATTGGCTTTCTGATGTGAGTTGTGTGCTTTCATTGCGTGGTCAAAGTTTTTGCTTTAAATTCAATGGATAAGTGAAGTGGGTTTTAATTATGCATTTGAAATATTTCCTTTGTCCAAGGTAACAAAATTGTGGAATGCTCGGTTATCTGCTGAAATCTGGTATTGATGTTTATTTGTTTATTATTAATTTCCCTTTCATTGTGTAACGTGTGTGCAGGAGGAATTTGCTGAGCCTGCTAAATTTGATGTTAGGAACAAGAGATTGAAGTCGAAGACAGTTAAAGGTATGTATAATTGAAAGAGTGTTATTGAGTGATTTAAAGGGGAAAGTTGGATATTCATAAGTAACCTTGTTTGTGCAGGAAAGAATAAAGAGCAGGAGTGGGAGTGGGGTTTGAGATCTTTGGACAACGAACATAGCATTAGATTGCCTAGAAGTGAGAGAGTGGCATCCTTACAACGAAATGAGAGTGGAAAGGTACCAAATGGTGATACGGTGAGCTATTTAGTGTCAAATCATGTCATTAATGCACTTGTTCTGCTCTTGAGCTTCATTTTTCTTTTTCCAATTTGCAGGTTAGTAGAAATGTAAAGAACAAAAAATATCCGCGGTTGTCCGAAGAGATTCCTTTGGACTTGAAATGGTTACCACTTCTTGATTACCTGAGCACCTTTGGAATGAAGGAGTCACACTTTATCCAAATATATGAGAGGCACATGCAAGCACTTCAAATTAATGTTGGTTCCGCACAGGAAAGGTTAGAATACTTAATGAGTGTTGGTGTTAAACATAGAGATGTAAGAAGAATCCTTTTGAGGCAGCCACAAATTCTTGAGTATACAGTGGAGAACAATTTGAAGTCTCGTGTTGCATTCTTGAGGGGCCTGGGCATACCGAATTCTAGAATGGGGCAAATCATTGCTGCTGCTCCGTCTTTGTTTTCTTACAGTGTTGAGAATTCATTAAAACCTACAGTTAGATATTTAGTTGAGGAAGTAGGCATCAAGGAAAAAGATTTGGGTAAGGTCATTCAGCTTAGTCCCCAAATTCTTGTGCAAAGAATTGACATTTCATGGAATATGCGTTATATGTTTCTTACCAAGGAGTTGGGTGCACCCAGGGATAACATTGTGAAGATGGTGACAAAACATCCCCAACTTCTCCATTACAGCATAGATGATGGATTACTTCCAAGAATAAATTTCTTAAGGAGCATAGGAATGAAAAATTCAGATATCTTGAAAGTATTGACTAGCCTTACGCAGGTGATTTTTAAATTCATTTCCCTCGTTATTAATTTATGAAACGTATCCTGTTTCACTGTTCCAGATTTCCATTCCTTCTTTCCATTTTGTATATTTTGAATTGATACTTGTTATATAATATGTAAAGAACAGTTTGTACCTGTTGTTAATGCTGACTACTGTGTCTGCAGGTGCTATCTCTGTCATTGGAGGAAAATCTAAAGCCCAAATATTTGTACTTGGTAAATGAACTTAACAATGAGGTGCAATCCTTGACCAAGTATCCAATGTATCTTAGTTTATCCTTGGACCAGAGAATTCGTCCTCGTCATAGGTTCTTAGTTTCCCTAAAGAAAGCTCCAAAAGGACCATTTCCCCTTGGATCTCTTGTACCAACTGATGAATGTTTTTGCGAACAGTGGGCTGGAACAAGTTTGGATAAATATTTGGCATTCCGTCAGAGATTATTACTTCAAAAGTTTGCTGAGAAATATGAAAGAAAAATGTGACAGAACAGAATCAAGTGAATATCAGTCAACTTGCATGAGTACTGGAAGAGGAATTTGTTGAAATATTATTGTCATGGAACGAGTTGATACAAAATGTTATTTATGGTCCGTTTCGTGGCTGAAAACCACAGTCAGTCATTAGAGTTTGTTCAACCTACTGGCATACCGTCTGCACATGATTTCATGACATTCGAATCAGTGTCTTATTTTCGGCAGAAGCTGCTACACTAGTGTGAAATTCATTCTTGCTGTTCGTGTTTGATTCAACAGTTTTTAACAAAGTGCTTGTGGCTGAAAATCAGAACACATGGTTCCTTGAGGTGAGTTTGTTGCTGCTTAATACTTACCACATTCAGTATGTTGTTATTAACCCTTTAGTCCCTAATTTATCACAGGTTGTGGACAATATTGCAAACTTATATTGGCATAATTTGAAGAACGAAGCTGTATCAACTTTAAGATTCACCTTATGGATTCTGTCATCGCTACTCTCATGTTTCGTTTTTACCTTCAGTGACGTGTTTGTAGATATATTTTTCCTCTATTTTCTTCTTTTGTGTATCTGAAATGAATAGGGCTCATTGCCATCACCAGAACTGTACAATTTTTGTTACCTTGCGGCAGTTTTCATTAATGTGAGTTGATGAAATAACATTCTTATTCTCCAGTTTCTCGGCATAAATTCTACCTCGTTTATTAGATGTTATACATTTTCAGTTGGTATAATATATCACTTTCATCATCTCACTTGTAGAAAAATGAATAAATGGAAAATCTTTTAATCAAATATTGGTAGATTACTCATGGATTATAGTTCTTATTTTATTCTATCATGGTGACTCATTTCATAATTTTTCTGTGTTGTACTCAATTCTCCGTAGCTTGTTCATTATCCTGTATTTATATTAATTTGCCGGTTTAGTAATATAAAACATGTAATGCAAAACAAACTATTTTACTTGTTTCTCAAACATCTTTGACTTTCAAATAGAAAAGAGGCTTATAACGGAAGCAAATTGCAAATTATAAGATAATCAATTTAATAAAAATGGCCAATCTACTGGTTAAATTTTCTAACTATAAGTTTCTAACTATTCCTATTTTGTCCAAAAACGTTTTCAAGAGAATATCTACTTAAGCGTTCAAAATTTAATTAATTTATAGATTAGATGGTCAAAAGTGGTTTAGATCTCTCAATTAAAATCACAATGATTAAGTATCAAAGGCACCACAATCACAATCAAAAAGTCAAATCACCCATTTAAAATATTAAATAAGAATGTAAACATACTGCTAATCTTACTTTACTTTTATTTCTTTTCTTTCTACCAACCAGCCCAATAGAAAGATTCAACCGAAACCATGACAGTGCTTGAATAAAAAAGTTCATTTTGGTAGAACTGCATATATTACGTGTTGATAAGATTATATCCTAGTAGACGTGAGAGTTGGAATCTTTGGAATCTTTTAATTCAGAATTGATTATTTATTCTTTATTTAAAAGTTTTTCAGACTCGTGGTTTTATTTAAAATTATGATTTCTTTCTGTATTTTAATTGAATAAAACTTTATCTTAAATAAATGTTTTATAGAAAAGTTTTGAAAAAAAATTTATACTGTGACCTCTCAAAAATTGGGGTATTACGTTTTGTAAAGCAACCATTTGATGACTTAGTAGCATAAGTTTACTATAAAATAGTGCAAAAAAAAGAAAGAATACAATACTCATATGAGGGATAAAAAACTTTATTGAAGTTGTTCACAGTCAATACATCCCTTAGTCATAGACAGATTCTAAGGTTCTTAAGCTAAGAAAAACTGTGGACAACAAAATATCTAGTTCTTTTCATCCACTAATGACTTCATCAAACAAAACATAACTATAACTATATGTTCTAAAATTCAAAGCTTCTGCCACCTGCTCCTGTCTGTAATTAAAAGCTATAACCTTCTTACATGTATCATTAACTTTTTGTTAATGCCACCAATTTCAATTGTTAAGAGGAACTCCTTCCAATGTCTCTTCTTCAGCATGTATGCACTACCTGGAATTTTGACTAAATTGCTGCACTGGTTGAGAAAATAGTTCAACACAAGAATTGTCTTGTGTATCAAAAGAAAGCTGATACCTCGGGCCTTGATCTATTTGAACTCTATATTTCTTGTATATGTATCTGAAACTATGATTTGTTTACATCTCACTATCTATTGGAAACGCGAATGGACTGTCTGGGAGGTTGAGGCCTTGATAGCTGGATAGAATTGAAAACATAAATTATATGATCCTTAGTCAACAAAATATTTCAGGAGATGTGGTTGCAGCCAAACTGCATTTTTGCAAACAAATAATATCATCTACACATAAATTGTATAGTCTCATTTTCTACTTCACAAAACAAAAGCTATGTTAGAAATGGATGCATACCTGGTTAAATTCAAGCAACAAATTATTAGGATACCAAAATTGACATTGACCATAGTAGAGTAAAATTAAACCTCAATGTATTAAAAACAAGCAGGCAGTAGAATGTAATAGAAAAGTGAAATGAATGCATACCTTTCCTCATCAGAGAAATTGTCGTCTGTATGTATGGATTTGGCATGCAGTGGAAAACGGAAAGATTCTTCTGGTGGCTGAAGACTGAAGTGATCTGCATGATAATTTATTTCAACCAACATAAGATAGATAGAATATATACTAAAACTTGATAAGCAAACATCCAATTTATTCTTACACACCATCTGAAACTTTTGTCTCATCCAAGGAGAAACCAAAATGAGGTGAGCTGGATAAAGGTTTTGAGGAAAACTGCAGTTGTGCAAGGCTTCTCCTCTCATGTTCCAGGGCCTGTTCTTGCTCTTGCAGCTGCCTCCTAAAAGATTTATGGTTCCCCAAACTTCTTGGAGCTAAATAAATTATAATTATGCATTAGATTGTACAAAATCTTCTTCCAAAAAAGGGAAGATAGAGAAAGCATAACATCAAATAACTTGGATGAGAAATTATATTCTCTTCTAAAAAAGAAAATAAAGAATTTAGGTTCCAGACTAGATAATATCATACTTGAGTTAAGTTCAGAATCCGTATCTACACAGTGTGGTGAATAACAAACTGTGTGCTCAAGTCTATCTGTGAACTTCCTGCATCCAAATTGAAATGCAAGTGCAAATTATTATGGTAAAAGGAATATAAGCAGAATTTAAGATTTCTTAAGATGTAAATACTGATTCAAGATACTACATTAGTCCATCTTGCTTCTGAATTTAAAAAATAGGCTACAGACACAATCAGAGAGAGAGCAAACTAGTTTTTGACAGTTCAAAGAATGTATTTGAAATCATTATATGTTCTTAATCAATTCCCCCTTCCATGTTCATTATTGTTGTTTAATTATTTGGTATGCCTTGACTTAGAGTGAATNACAAGACATGAGAAGAAGTGAATGCAATCATACCACATTCTGGGCAGCGGAAGTATTCCTTTTCCCTTAGAACAAGCCCCGACCCACCACACTCCTCACATCTTTTTTGAGCTATCTGTAACAGCATCCAACAATGAAGACATGAAACACACCAGTTTCATACCTAATGACTTACAAACAAGTCATAAACTCAACCAAAGGAGTGACTTACAATTCTTTTGCGAAATTCGATCCCTGCCACCACAAAAGGGGTAACCCCAGCTGAAAAATTCAAACCCAAAGAAAATCAAATCCCAATTTCTTACACAAAAACACCATTCTCTTTCCATCAATATAAGGACAAAACACAAAACAGCTAAAAGGATCTGCCTTTAAGATTTGTTTGTCCCTTAGATAAGAACATTTCTAGAAAAGTGAAAACTTAAAAGGTTGTGATTGTGAGTTAAGGTACCTATAGCTCCGACCACAATTTGCCAGGTGACTTCCACCGGAGCTGGATCAAATACCGTGATTATATCTTCCACATTCGCAGCACTCACCCTTACACTTCTTCTTCTACTTTCATTCTTAACCAAAACATTACAACCTTGTCTCCCAGACACGCGAGAGATCCGAGACACTCTGCTCCTAGTTTTTACACTCCCCAATGAAAGAAGAGACAAAGAAGACGCTGCAACTGCTCCTTCCATAGTTAACTAACTCCCCAACCTCATTCATTTCACACTTCACAGCACCACAACCGTTATAAAGAATGCCACGTGGGCTTTTTTAGCCCACGGGCTCGCGCCACCTACGCGTTATTTTGTGTGACTCATGTTCCAGATATGGTTTTAAGTAAAAACGACACCGTTTTAGATAGAAAGAGGATAAACCTCTGGTATTGCAGAGAGAGATTCTGACTTAGGGTTTTGGAGTATATTCTTTTCTGTTTCTCTTTAGCAATGGCTGCTTCTGTGTCTCTCTATCCCTATAAACCCCTGCTATACTTTTCGACTCCTTCATGTTTTCAGTCTCAATTTCGGAACTTGGAGAGAGGGCATTTGGGTTCTGCAAGGTTGAAGAGTATAGTGAAACTTGCAGCACATTCAAATCCGAAAATTCTCAAGACCAACAGGAAGTCAAAGTATGGAGAGGCACTGTCGCTGTACGATAGTGATGAAGACGATGAAGAAACTGACGAGGAGGAGGACGACGAAGATGATGATGATTGGCTTTCTGATGTGAGTTGTGTGCTTTCATTGCGTGGTCAAAGTTTTTGCTTTAAATTCAATGGATAAGTGAAGTGGGTTTTAATTATGCATTTGAAATATTTCCTTTGTCCAAGGTAACAAAATTGTGGAATGCTCGATTATCTGCTGAAATCTGGTATTGATGTTTATTTGTTTATTATTAATTTCCCTTTCATTGTGTAACGTGTGTGCAGGAGGAATTTGCTGAGCCTGCTAAATTTGATGTTAGGAACAAGAGATTGAAGTCGAAGACAGTTAAAGGTATGTATAATTGAAAGAGTGTTATTGAATGATTTAAAGGGGAAAGTTGGATATTCATAAGTAACCTTGTTTGTGCAGGAAAGAATAAAGAGCAGGAGTGGGAGTGGGGTTTGAGATCTTTGGACAACGAACATAGCATTAGATTGCCTAGAAGTGAGAGAGTGGCATCCTTACAACGAAATGAGAGTGGAAAGGTACCAAATGGTGATACGGTGAGCTATTTAGTGTCAAATCATGTCATTAATGCACTTGTTCTGCTCTTGAGCTTCATTTTTCTTTTTCCAATTTGCAGGTTAGTAGAAATGTAAAGAACAAAAAATATCCGCGGTTGTCCGAAGAGATTCCTTTGGACTTGAAATGGTTACCACTTCTTGATTACCTGAGCACCTTTGGAATGAAGGAGTCACACTTTATCCAAATATATGAGAGGCACATGCAAGCACTTCAAATTAATGTTGGTTCCGCACAGGAAAGGTTAGAATACTTAATGAGTGTTGGTGTTAAACATAGAGATGTAAGAAGAATCCTTTTGAGGCAGCCACAAATTCTTGAGTATACAGTGGAGAACAATTTGAAGTCTCGTGTTGCATTCTTGAGGGGCCTGGGCATACCGAATTCTAGAATGGGGCAAATCATTGCTGCTGCTCCGTCTTTGTTTTCTTACAGTGTTGAGAATTCATTAAAACCTACAGTTAGATATTTAGTTGAGGAAGTAGGCATCAAGGAAAAAGATTTGGGTAAGGTCATTCAGCTTAGTCCCCAAATTCTTGTGCAAAGAATTGACATTTCATGGAATATGCGTTATATGTTTCTTACCAAGGAGTTGGGTGCACCCAGGGATAACATTGTGAAGATGGTGACAAAACATCCCCAACTTCTCCATTACAGCATAGATGATGGATTACTTCCAAGAATAAATTTCTTAAGGAGCATAGGAATGAAAAATTCAGATATCTTGAAAGTATTGACTAGCCTTACGCAGGTGATTTTTAAATTCATTTCCCTCGTTATTAATTTATGAAACGTATCCTGTTTCACTGTTCCAGATTTCCATTCCTTCTTTCCATTTTGTATATTTTGAATTGATACTTGTTATATAATATGTAAAGAACAGTTTGTACCTGTTGTTAATGCTGACTACTGTGTCTGCAGGTGCTATCTCTGTCATTGGAGGAAAATCTAAAGCCCAAATATTTGTACTTGGTAAATGAACTTAACAATGAGGTGCAATCCTTGACCAAGTATCCAATGTATCTTAGTTTATCCTTGGACCAGAGAATTCGTCCTCGTCATAGGTTCTTAGTTTCCCTAAAGAAAGCTCCAAAAGGACCATTTCCCCTTGGATCTCTTGTACCAACTGATGAATGTTTTTGCGAACAGTGGGCTGGAACAAGTTTGGATAAATATTTGGCATTCCGTCAGAGATTATTACTTCAAAAGTTTGCTGAGAAATATGAAAGAAAAATGTGACAGAACAGAATCAAGTGAATATCAGTCAACTTGCATGAGTACTGGAAGAGGAATTTGTTGAAATATTATTGTCATGGAACGAGTTGATACAAAATGTTATTTATGGTCCGTTTCGTGGCTGAAAACCACAGTCAGTCATTAGAGTTTGTTCAACCTACTGGCATACCGTCTGCACATGATTTCATGACATTCGAATCAGTGTCTTATTTTCGGCAGAAGCTGCTACACTAGTGTGAAATTCATTCTTGCTGTTCGTGTTTGATTCAACAGTTTTTAACAAAGTGCTTGTGGCTGAAAATCAGAACACATGGTTCCTTGAGGTGAGTTTGTTGCTGCTTAATACTTACCACATTCAGTATGTTGTTATTAACCCTTTAGTCCCTAATTTATCACAGGTTGTGGACAATATTGCAAACTTATATTGGCATAATTTGAAGAACGAAGCTGTATCAACTTTAAGATTCACCTTATGGATTCTGTCATCGCTACTCTCATGTTTCGTTTTTACCTTCAGTGACGTGTTTGTAGATATATTTTTCCTCTATTTTCTTCTTTTGTGTATCTGAAATGAATAGGGCTCATTGCCATCACCAGAACTGTACAATTTTTGTTACCTTGCGGCAGTTTTCATTAATGTGAGTTGATGAAATAACATTCTTATTCTCCAGTTTCTCGGCATAAATTCTACCTCGTTTATTAGATGTTATACATTTTCAGTTGGTATAATATATCACTTTCATCATCTCACTTGTAGAAAAATGAATAAATGGAAAATCTTTTAATCAAATATTGGTAGATTACTCATGGATTATAGTTCTTATTTTATTCTATCATGGTGACTCATTTCATAATTTTTCTGTGTTGTACTCAATTCTCCGTAGCTTGTTCATTATCCTGTATTTATATTAATTTGCCGGTTTAGTAATATAAAACATGTAATGCAAAACAAACTATTTTACTTGTTTCTCAAACATCTTTGACTTTCAAATAGAAAAGAGGATTATAACGGAAGCAAATTGCAAATTATAAGATAATCAATTTAATAAAAATGGCCAATCTACTGGTTAAATTTTCTAACTATAAGTTTCTAACTATTCCTATTTTGTCCAAAAACGTTTTCAAGAGAATATCTACTTAAGCGTTCAAAATTTAATTAATTTATAGATTAGATGGTCAAAAGTGGTTTAGATCTCTCAATTAAAATCACAATGATTAAGTATCAAAGGCACCACAATCACAATCAAAAAGTCAAATCACCCATTTAAAATATTAAATAAGAATGTAAACATACTGCTAATCTTACTTTACTTTTATTTCTTTTCTTTCTACCAACCAGCCCAATAGAAAGATTCAACCGAAACCATGACAGTGCTTGAATAAAAAAGTTCATTTTGGTAGAACTGCATATATTACATGTTGATAAGATTATATCCTAGTAGACGTGAGAGTTGGAATCTTTGGAATCTTTTAATTCAGAATTGATTATTTATTCTTTATTTAAAAGTTTTTCAGACTCGTGGTTTTATTTAAAATTATGATTTCTTTCTGTATTTTAATTGAATAAAACTTTATCTTAAATAAATGTTTTATAGAAAAGTTTTGAAAAAAAATTTATACTGTGACCTCTCAAAAATTAGGGTATTAAGTTTTGTAAAGCAACCATTTGATGACTTAGTAGCATAAGTTTACTATAAAATAGTGCAAAAAAAAGAAAGAATACAATACTCATATGAGGGATAAAAAACTTTATTGAAGTTGTTCACAGTCAATACATCCCTTAGTCATAGACAGATTCTAAGGTTCTTAAGCTAAGAAAAACTGTGGACAACAAAATATCTAGTTCTTTTCATCCACTAATGACTTCATCAAACAAAACATAACTATAACTATATGTTCTAAAATTCAAAGCTTCTGCCACCTGCTCCTGTCTGTAATTAAAAGCTATAACCTTCTTACATGTATCATTAACTTTTTGTTAATGCCACCAATTTCAATTGTTAAGAGGAACTCCTTCCAATGTCTCTTCTTCAGCATGTATGCACTACCTGGAATTTTGACTAAATTGCTGCACTGGTTGAGAAAATAGTTCAACACAAGAATTGTCTTGTGTATCAAAAGAAAGCTGATACCTCGGGCCTTGATCTATTTGAACTCTATATTTCTTGTATATGTATCTGAAACTATGATTTGTTTACATCTCACTATCTATTGGAAACGCGAATGGACTGTCTGGGAGGTTGAGGCCTTGATAGCTGGATAGAATTGAAAACATAAATTATATGATCCTTAGTCAACAAAATATTTCAGGAGATGTGGTTGCAGCCAAACTGCATTTTTGCAAACAAATAATATCATCTACACATAAATTGTATAGTCTCATTTTCTACTTCACAAAACAAAAGCTATGTTAGAAATGGATGCATACCTGGTTAAATTCAAGCAACAAATTATTAGGATACCAAAATTGACATTGACCATAGTAGAGTAAAATTAAACCTCAATGTATTAAAAACAAGCAGGCAGTAGAATGTAATAGAAAAGTGAAATGAATGCATACCTTTCCTCATCAGAGAAATTGTCGTCTGTATGTATGGATTTGGCATGCAGTGGAAAACGGAAAGATTCTTCTGGTGGCTGAAGACTGAAGTGATCTGCATGATAATTTATTTCAACCAACATAAGATAGATAGAATATATACTAAAACTTGATAAGCAAACATCCAATTTATTCTTACACACCATCTGAAACTTTTGTCTCATCCAAGGAGAAACCAAAATGAGGTGAGCTGGATAAAGGTTTTGAGGAAAACTGCAGTTGTGCAAGGCTTCTCCTCTCATGTTCCAGGGCCTGTTCTTGCTCTTGCAGCTGCCTCCTAAAAGATTTATGGTTCCCCAAACTTCTTGGAGCTAAATAAATTATAATTATGCATTAGATTGTACAAAATCTTCTTCCAAAAAAGGGAAGATAGAGAAAGCATAACATCAAATAACTTGGATGAGAAATTATATTCTCTTCTAAAAAAGAAAATAAAGAATTTAGGTTCCAGACTAGATAATATCATACTTGAGTTAAGTTCAGAATCCGTATCTACACAGTGTGGTGAATAACAAACAGTGTGCTCAAGTCTATCTGTGAACTTCCTGCATCCAAATTGAAATGCAAGTGCAAATTATTATGGTAAAAGGAATATAAGCAGAATTTAAGATTTCTTAAGATGTAAATACTGATTCAAGATACTACATTAGTCCATCTTGCTTCTGAATTTAAAAAATAGGCTACAGACACAATCAGAGAGAGAGCAAACTAGTTTTTGACAGTTCAAAGAATGTATTTGAAATCATTATATGTTCTTAATCAATTCCCCCTTCCATGTTCATTATTGTTGTTTAATTATTTGGTATGCCTTGACTTAGAGTGAATTGACCATCTAATCTCTTTTAGAGTCAATGTGATAAGTCAGATATCCTCCGTTTGAAGGACACATAATGCAGTAATTTGCATCCTGAAACACAAAAATCACACAAGTAGTAGGACGGCAGGATACTGTATTTCATATTAAGCAGGCACTCCCTACTGAAAGGATATTATCACTTTTGGGTACTGCATTCCTATAGTGATACATGTTATTTCTATGAAAGCAAGTGCTGTTGCAGGCCCAATGCAGAAGTATAATGTTAAACCATGGCCCTAGCCACCTGTAACTTAATTTGACTAAAAATGTATCATCACAAAATTGAGGTTCGGGGAAGTTGCACCAATGATACATGTTTGTGACAATCAGGAAGTCCTCCGTTTTGCTTTAAATTCAATCCTTATTGACTTGAGGACCAAACATTGAGAGATCACCACATCATCAAGGAAAAGATCTTATCAGGAGACATCCCTACTGAGTTTGGCAATTCAAATGTTCAACTAACAGACGTCCTCGAAGGCACTGAACTGAAATGTTATCAAATTATCGGTGATAGATATGAGGCTGTGTAATCATCAAGGAGGAATAACTAAGAACAATGGAATCATCAAGGCAGAAAATTTCATCAAACTTTTCTATCTCTAGAAAAACAGATAACAATTGTTTTGTCATTTCAATCCAAAAGCTATAAGCTTTGATCTTAAAACATGAACTTCAAATAACTACAGTTAAAAGAATAAATGAGAATTTGAAGCCATAATACTACAAAAACCTGCAATAAAATAACAAATTGAAAGGAAGCGACAAGGAATTCACCTTTCATTAATCTTTGCTTTCTCCCGGTAAGGTTTCACAAGAACCCGAGAACCCCGAACACAATGAGGATTCCCTTTATCCAAAACAGTTTTGACAGTTTCTGAATGAGCAAATGTCACAAATCCAAACATCCTTCTCTGCTGGTTTGGAATTCTAACATCTGCAACAGGCCCAAATGTGCTACAAATGAAAAGTATAAAAGTCAGTTCATTAGTGCAAATAATCAACTGCAAATGCAAAGTAATGTGAGCATGAACTATAACAACAAAAAATTGTAATATACTTGAAGTAGTTTGAGACATCATCCTCTGTGAAAGTGCTGTCAGCCGGAAATGTCAGATATATCTGTCGTGAAGCACTGATATTTCGAGGAAACTCTCCCTTCTTCATTTGTGTGGGAGCATCTTCTGCCAGAGTCACTGAATGCTGCCCATGAGGTCTGTAATTTAACCACAAAAAAAGTCAAATAAGGATCACAAAGATCAAACACTAAATACACAATACATGCAAAAAAATATAAGAATTTACCTCACTATTAGACGAATACTATTTTTCAGTCGCGCAAGAAGCTTTGTCAAACTATAGCCAGACTTACCGTGTCTTTGGCTCTCAGTTAAATAACCATCTGCTTGCAGTACCTTCTTATATCTATCATAGTACGCCATTGGCAGAGAAGCAATCGATATTGCATCATCCCTTGATCTTAGAAGCTCAATAATTTCTTTCTCTAGCTGTGCCAGTGACCCTGGGGAAATCACCTGATCCTCACCACTAGCATCACTTCCATACATCTGAGATAAATTCTCAGGGGCAACTAGCCCATGGTAGAATCTGCAGTTATTTCCATGTTTGCAGAATCCTTTGTTGAAATAGTGACAAACTTTCATTGGATATTCAGAAAACCTTTTCCCAGCTTTGCCACCAAAATTGGCAGCAGAAGCATCTCTACAGTAATCGTTGGCAACCCCTACAGTCCCAGTCTTTACAGCACCTATACGATTCTCCAAACTGCACAATTGTGTCTGCTTCTGAAGCTCAATGACAGAATCCATGTAATTCATTGCCATAAAGTCTGGATTGATATTGCCAGCAGGTTGTGGATCCCAATAGAGAGGGGGAACCTGAAAGTTTGGTGTAGTAGGAGTTCTAGGAGACATTATTGCTAAATGGCCATAACCTTGTTGAGGGTTGACCATATGTGAAATTGGAAGGATATCTGGTTTCGCAGACAATCTGAGAAGCTCCCTTTTGGCCTGAAATGCCACTTCACGGATGTAACAGTCAGGGTACGAAGCCCATTTTGCCATTTCTAGTTCTCCATGGTCTTGTAGAAGGAGATAACCGATTATCTTTCTAGCATGCTCTGGCTCAAATTTATGAATTTTGTCAAAGACAATCCTTGTATAGTGAGAAATATCCATAACTCTTATATTGTCACTGAAAAAGAAAAAGAAATTACCGTTTAAACAAGTTTGAGTGCACACTGTTCACAGAACAGTACAAAGAAAAACAGAAGAAAACTTTAAAAACTAGGGAAACAAAAATGGCCTTGTTCCAGGATGAATTATAAATAACCTAAGCAAGACAAGACAGGAAGTGTGACAGATACTAGGAATGGAAAAACACTCCACAGTGCATTATAATTTCCTCAATTTTCTCTGTCATCACCCAAAAGGAAGGATTTTTAATGCAGCCCAGAAATGGAACTTGCTCTGATATGGAAGAAGCGCCGCTCAGAAATACCCACATGCATTAATCACATACCAAAAATTACAAAGTCATCGCAGAAAACAAATGATTACAAGAAAACTGACCAGCATTTGCGAATTAAAAACCGGGAACAGACATTTGAAGATGGATGTCTAAAGGTCCTTTCTTTTTGGAAAAGTAAAGAAAAGTCGGTTTAACTCAAACACCCTTCTCGAAATCAAGTACAATCCCCAAATAAAAAGAAGAAGAAACAAATAATAAATACAAAAATCTTCAAAAGCTGCAGCATACCCATCTAAAAAGCAGAAGATAAACAGTGCAGCAAATGTTTAAAAAACGGAACTTTTTCATACTGATTCCATCAACCTTAATCTCTGTTAATATCTGTATTAGGAACTTCACGTACAATCAGAGAGGTGTATAATCCTAATCCAAAAGACAAACAGATAAATGATTTTCGGAAAGGCTCAGAATCCAGAGAGTGACAAAGACACCATGTATCGATCTCTCTTCTTTTTTTCAGAATCAACTCCAGTGACCTCTACACACTCTGCAGCAGTGACTGTGCAGTCTTTATTTCCTTCCAAATTTAAAACCTTTAGAGAATCACAGATGTTGAATAGTCACGAACTCAACGCAAAATATTTTGCTTAATTTTCGTCGACTATAACTGCTTGGAACTGCTCAATTTCCAGTATCACCCTCTTAACTCTCCTTTTCTGATTATAAAATAATAACAATAATTCGGAAAATCCAACGTGGTACTAAATTTAGGACTTCAACTTCTCAACCGCGCAGCAAGGTCGGCAATCTTTGTGACAGAAAAAACTGCAACTTTTATCTGTCTATATTTAGAGTTAAACTATTTCTTTCTAAACCATTATGTTTAGGAAGATTGAACATGAAAATTTGCATATATATAAAAAAAATCTAAGCATTGTTAAAAACTTAGATTTTAAAAGTTTATCCAAATAATCATGATTAATGTATTAAAAAATAGATAAATGTGTGGCATTGGCTATGATCATGAAGATTTATAAACTCCAAAGGGGGACCATTGGAGGGAAAATGTAGACCTTGGAAATTGGCTAAGCTTAAAGGGCTGGTTGTGGTGCAACATTTTGCATTTCAATTTGTTTGGGAGGGAACACACACAATCACAGATGGGACAATGCTACATCTCCAAATCTTTATATTAAATACTATAAACTAAAAGTTGCATAAATCAATGTCACAAAGCCAACTTGGTGAAAGGTCCACACATTCCTTAAGTTGAGTTCTTTGTTATGCGAAATGGGACCCTTCAAAATTCTGAGAGGGTCCACAACATCCAACAATGTCATTTTATAATCTTAATGATGCTGATATGGCAATTCATTCTAAGTTTTGTTATACTACTATTTTACACATAGCTATACCCTACCTGTGGGAGGGTATCAAATGAAAGGCAAATATTCCTATATCTTATCCTTTCATGCCACCTCAAACCTTAGTTTTTGTGGTCAATAATGGATCAAGGTGGGTTTTCTTTTTTGTTAGGCTTAATTCTCATTTTGGTTTATGTGTAATTTTTAGTTTCAATTGTAGAGTTTTGTAATTGTTTAAATCACTTTGTTGTTATAAAATTTCATCTAATAATTAGGATAGACGAGATGTAAATAACTGATGTAATATTAATCTATATAGATTTTGTAAAAGAAAATATATATATAAAGTATCTAAATAAAAATAAAAATATTTTGTGTTACATTTTTCTATTTAATACTTTTTGTTTACATAAATCAATTATATAGTTTTGGAACGTACTATATAAAATTTTGAGGTAAAATAAATTATTTGAATAATTAGAAAGTTAAAAAAATGGAAGTAAACCCTTAAAACAGAACACCTATATAAATTAAAGTATTTGAAAAAAAAATTCTTTTATTTTTTATATTTATCAAAAAATCCTAATAAAATATTATGGTTGAGTTGTTCTAAGAAGTCGTTTAAATATTTTTGTTTTTAATAAAATTATTATTCATTAGTTTTAGCTTTCTTAAGACGTTTATTAGCTGGATAGAACAAAAAGTTGTGTTTTATTAGGTATAATAGAAGAAATAGTTGTTAATCATAACTTAACATATTATTTGTTCACTAATTGGTCAAGAAAAAAAAATTAATGTAGCTGTATTCAGGATTTGATGATAGAAGAGTGCAATAATTATCTTTTGAATACCATTTATAATATTTATTAAATTACATTAAATATATTTCAATGTAATGTAAACGAATATTTAAAAATATAAATGAGATTATGTATTTTATTAGAATATGCAATACTTATAATGTGTTTTATTATTGAGTGGAAGAATTGCATTGTGAATTCAGTTCAATTTGTTTTGATGGTATTATTAGCTTCTGTTATGTCAGTTATACCATCTCTCTATATATGTCAACTAACACTTGTAAAATCAATATTTTTGTAATACAAATATAAAAAAATTATACTAGCAATACATTTTATTTAAATTTTTTTAAGTATGAATTATTATTTTATTAAAACCACTAATAAAAGATGTACTTGAAAAGACATAGCTACCAAGATGAAGTGGTCAATTAAAATAAAACAAAGAAGACTAGTGAGTTTTTTTTTTTTTAAGATTTGTTAAAGAATGACTACATAAATATGATCTGAGATTAATTTACATATAATTTTCAATAAAAAATCTTAAAAACAATAAGTTTAGAATTTGTTTCTTGAAACATTGTATATATAATGAGAATTAAATTCATTATTGAATTCCAAATATATAATCTGTCATGGTAATGATTGAATTTATATGCAAAAAGTCTGACATGGGATTATCAGTTCACAACACTTATTTCTGTATATATGTAATGTGATTATAGTTTATTCCTCTAAAAAACAATTTTGATGTAATATGTTTGTAAAACAAGTAATGTATCTCTTATTTGGTGTATGATAAGTTGATTATAAGAGGATAAATTCATAATTTATAAACTTTAGACTATCATAGCCTAATTTATTAAATTATAAATATTTTTAAAATTAGTTAATATGATAAATAGTAGATATAAAATGACAAAATTTAGTATCATGAAGCTATTTTAATAAATTTTATTCTTAAAGATTAAATTATAGTTTATAATCAAATAAACTAGAAATAAAACTTATTACTAGTTTATATTCTAATTTAGCTACATATAAGTTTTTTATTATAATTCATTAATAAAGATTAACATATTGTATTTATAATCTCGTTCACAATCCTCTATAATATATCAATTATTTCAAACCACATTCTAATATCATTGGATTGGAACAGACTCAGTTATGAATTACTCAAACACTTAAATAGTTATAAATATGAACTAATTAAATTCTATTTGACGAATTTGAAAATTGTGTACAATTAATTGCATGCTCATTTATTAATCTGATTTTGGTACACTATTAGAAAAACAATTAATATTTAATTTTTCCTCCACTTTTTTTTTCACTAAATTATAGAAAACTCGTGGTCTATATAATAGTAATATATAGCATATTTGATAAATGGTATAAAAAACAACAGTGTATTTTTTATTTGATTGAGAGTTAAACAAAAAAATTTTACAATTTTTCTACGTATTTTGATTTCAGATTTCAAAATTTTATATTCTTACTCGTTTATTATTATTTTTATATTATTTTTAATATTAAAGGTCTCTCTCTATATAAATGTTTAGTTATTGCCTTATTTTTATTCATGTAAATTTATGTTGTATATTATTTTAGGTCTTTAAAATATTCCATACTTTTTTTAAAATATTAAGAGTCTTTTTTATAGGAAGATGTATAGAATATAATTCACATATACAAGCAACCAATATATTTTTATGATTTTTTTTAGTAAATGACATCCATTCCACTAAAGATCATTCAGTTACATTTACATACAATTATTACACACGACATTTTATATATATAAAAAATATTAAACATTATATAAAATAACAGTCACTCACAAAAATATCTGTATATATTTGGTAATATTGTTTATGAGAAATAAGTTAAAAGTTACCAAACTTGTAGGAATATGAAAGAAAAAAAAAACTATTTTAAACATCTTTCTTTGACATGATAAATTTATAAAGGTGTTTTTTTAGTTTTGATTTTTATATTATATAATAATAACAATAAATATATGAAAAATATCAATCAAACTAAAAATAAAAAATTAAATTACTGGTACTAAATAAAACTATAATAAAATAAGTAATTAAAATAAAATACGAGAGTAATAATAAAATAAAATAAATTAAAGTTTTATATTTTATAAAGAAATTTATTTTAACATATTATTATTTTAAAATAAAAGTTTTTATTTATTAAAAATTATTTTTATATAAAATTATTCAATTAAATTAATCACATTTATTATAATTTTTTTACTTATTTTTGGTTCTGACCCTTTTCATGCATGTGGTGTGCCAGTTTAATGGTTAAAATATATATTTTCTGTATGCAAGTTTAGGTTATACTGCAGGCTACAATATTGCTGTTTGGGGCTGCAGATAAAAACTATACTGAGAAATATGAAGAGAACATACACTTTATGATTACCTCAAATGTTTGAAACATAATACACAACCTAGTATATCTCTCTCTCCACCAACCTGTCTATTTGACTAAAATGTTTTCGGTGGTGTGGTCCATTAACACGTGATGCAAATCATGTTCGTGTGGCGAACATTTTATTTCCATATTAAAATAATAATGTACAGACACTCTTCAGATGTTGATAGATATTCATCCAATCGACCGAGTTTGCATACTGTAAACGATTTATGTTTTCAAAATTTCGTGTTGTGTACTGTGTTTCGATAACCTGTCACTTTTTCTGCTTTGTCGTTATCCTATGTTTATGGCACCGAACAAGAGACCCAATCAACCAAAATTGTCAACCTAACGTGGAAATGATACAAACAATTTAAAATAATTCGTGTAATACAAAGGGAGAGTGAATGTGTTGAATTTGATGACTTTGCATTACAGCTAAATTATACCTATTTTTATGAAATCGATTTCATTCAAAAATCCGTAGATGGAACAGCTAATTTGTATGCCTTTCCACTCGATTGATTATTTTATTTTTCTTATGTTACAATGTTATTTTATGAGATGTAAAACATAGATTTGTGGATAGATTATAAGATTTTAATGATAGTTTTATAAAAGATTCTTTAACATAGAATTGTAATCTTTAAAAATATGATAAATATACATTTGTATAAAGTGAGTATTTTTTAAAAAAATATTAATTATATTTATAAAATTAATAAATTTATGTTTATATTGAAGTAATATGTAAATTATAAATAATTATTATTATATCAAACTATTAAGATTTAATTATAATAAGTAAATATAATTTAAATAAATATAAATATGGACTGTTTTATAATAATATAATAAGTCTTATCAAAACATGTTTTTTAATATATTTATTGGAACAGATGAAAATACATTGCATCTGCCAAATTCATAACTCATTGTAAATTAGTCATTTTTAAAATGAATTGGAAAACAACGAGGGTGTAGAAAGCAAAATATCTTAGAACAAATTAATTCTACTATTGGGGTATTCAGTTCATGTCTCCCTAACTAGCCCAAACATGGACTTGGGCTGTTAAACGTGCTTTTCTTACTGTACTCTCATTATTACTGAGTGTACTCTATATTAACAGATATATATATATTAACAATAATATATATATATATATATATATATATATATATATATATATATATATATATATATATATATATATATATATATTTATATTTTTTTTTAATACAATGATATGAATATCTTCTTGTCCTTCCCCTCCCCGCACCCTAAATTTTCTCACAACTTGGTAGGGTATATACAAAAATAATGTTTGCTTCTTTCCTTTTGGATGGGACATCTACTCCTCAATACTTTCCTATAATTAATAGTCTACTGCCACTTTAATTCTCCACCGTGCTTCGTAGCAAAATTTTAGCAATCATGCTATTAATTTTCAGTTTGTCATACCCATGCAAGTAATTTAATCACTCTAGTTCCTCATTCTCAACAACTTTATACTACAAAGGAGAAAATAAAAGCTTCATGAATGAATATTAAAAAAGCTTTTTAAAGTCCATCCAAGAGAAATTCTCTCCACCTAATAATCTAACACGTTCTTTTTCAATGCTGTTCTTGAAACTGTAAAATATCATCTACTCGCCCATAGAGCTCCATCAAAGTATCCCTACCAAAATGTTCTTGTTACGGGATTCATTTGTCTAGCTTACTTTTAACAAGAGCCTAATAACAATAATAAACTTTCTTCCTTCTTTTACAACTTTGTGTGTGTGTGTCTATATATATATATATATATATATATATATATATAGCCCTCGCATTTGCATGTCTGAATATAATCTAGTGAAAGATGCAGACTTTGTTTATGGACAAGGTAAGCTATAGCTGCAACAGGGGTCTCAATGCGAGAGACTAGCTAACAACAATCATGATAAAAATAAAGATTGAAAAGTGAATATTCAAGTTTCAAAAAACTATTATATCATATTAATTCCTCACTTCAATTATTGTCTACACAGCAAGTACAAGATCAAATGCTTGACAATAGTAAAAAAAATCATTTGACAAATCACATACATTAAATTTAATTTTAATTAATTTAAACACGTCTCTTCTCAGTGAGGACATACCTTGGGTTAGGAATTGCCTCCTTACCACCGTTTTGGCCATACTTACGCCCGCGATACCCATCGTCCAATATATCAACCTCACTCAAATTTGTACACAAACAACCCGTGGCTTCCCTTATAGGCTTAACTACATGAGGTGATGTCAACACTTCCAAGTTCCATTTTTTCACTCACAAAAAAGAAAAAAACTCAGCAGCAGCATGGGCACACATGCTGAATAATTCTCAGAGCTTCAACCAAATTGTCATCCTTCGCTTTGAGAAGGGATCATCATCATCAGTGTCATCACTATCCTGTTTGACACAAACCCAACACCCTCTAAACATCATCTGTTTGTTGCTTCTGTTTTATGGCTCAAAGCACTGTTGCGCTCAGCAGCATGGGACAACTGACCATACATGGAGGATGCTTTGTCTACAAGAAAAAATTAGAAGAAAAAGAAATTCAGCTTATTTCTCTGTAATAAGTTATATTAACATGGAAGCTATGATAAGCATCTGGCTGGTATTACCATCTAGGCCAGCCAAAGAAGAATCCTTAATCGGATCTCCTACTTGAATAGACATAATAGTACCAGTAGAGTATCGGCAGCTTGGTTGAGGTTTAGGATGATCATGTGTTCCCTTGTAAATTATCTCCGCGATTTGACCATCATGAGAGCGTGTCAACAAACAAGTTTTTTCACTTCACATTAGATGTGTACATTTGTAATAATGCGGGAATTCAAACTTCCTTTAAATTTAACAGTTTTTGCCCTATTTTCGCCAATTGTATCCATCTCAGATGTTTTCCTCTACTGCAACTGAAACTCCATTGCCTCTAACCTCAACATGCGATCTTGAAGCCCAGTAGCTGTGTTGCTTTTGTGGTTAACGTCATCCAAATCAACATCAACAGGAGCACTAGGACTAGAACTAACCATTTGTACAGGTGATGATAGACTTAATTCGTTAGCAGGAACTGCTATCTCACTTTCAACTAATGGTGAGGAAACAAATGATTGTGCTTTCCTAGACTTCTGCTTGAGTTGATTGTTTGATACCATGGTTATTGAAGTCTGCAGGAACCTTAACATGAGCAAATAGCATTGGATAAGTGTTCTATGAAATTATCAAATCTTCAAATAATATTAATCAAACATGGAAACAAAAACCATTTGTTTTTTATCTAACACATAATCTGTATACGACTGTAAATTATAAACCATTCAAATGAAACAAGACTTCAGAATTTATTTTGTCTCATGCGACAAAGTATGAGTAATATCCATCTTGATAAATTTGAATTCTGAAGAATTATCCTATCTTGTTTTGTCAGTTAGTATACAGATTTAAACCAAGTAAAATCAGGATAGAAAACAAAATTTGAGCCCATTCGTCCATGTCATTTGAAATTTATTTTAATCAAAGTGTTGCCAACATCAATTGCATTACCATATTCAACCTGTTGAGCGGTTTAAACTCAAAGAAGCTTGATTTCCTGTCATCAACAGTATTGGTATTGAAGCATGCAGTGGTTACTGCAAATGTAGCAGAGGCCTTAGAACCATGTACTGTTTGTTGAAGCTTGCGCAGGGACCCTGTAGTTGTGAAGACTCCACTGCAACGCATGGACAAAAAATATTTAAACTATGAGCTTTTTGAGGCAACATTTGTTGGAGTGATGAAAAATTATAATGCACAGAAAGATACAAGGAACAATTTATCTTCTCAGAAAACCAATAAAAGGAGAGGAGGGAAAAGGCAAAAAACAGCAAGTTCCAGAATATCTGAAAACCCTAAGGCCTCAAACAGCAATCAATAAACCTAGGAAATCCGTAATAACAGCAGAAAGAAACAACATAATATCGTCTGAGTAAAAACCAAATAAACTAAAAAACTAATGAATGTTAGCAGCTAGTGATGTAAGCACCCCCTAGCAAACTGAAACGTAAGCAAGTTTTACTTTCTCCTGGCTGCTGATTTGCATATTGTTTATTTTGAGCCCGTTTGAAAGATAACACAGTCATTATAATTTGCAAAAGTTTAGTTATATAAACAATCAATCATAACAAAGAAAAGACTCTCCTACATAATGTAGCAATAATTCTACTTGAATTAGGACACACAGACTATTTTAGCGTCTAGAAACAAGTCCTTTCAAAAAATCCAGACCCACAATCTTTCTGACATTCCCTATATTATTCTCACAGCACACATAACTAAAATCAATCCACTAATCGCCGGTAATGCTTTGATTCGTTTGCTCCACATATATAAATAGTAAAGAAAAGAAGAGGACTTTTCTGTGCACTCTGCTGCACCGTTGAAACAAAAACAAACAAAAGGGCAAGCACCAACAAAAAAGAAGATTCATTATGTGAAAAAACAACACTGACATTAAAATAAATAAAAGGAGAATGTCTAGCGATCCTCAGCTAAAGTTATATTCCACCAAAGAGAATACCGTATTTAAGCATAAGGCAGCCAATACATAATCCTATAAGAGCAAAAGCATCAGAAACTAACGGACCCATACACAAAAAATGTACTACTAAGTGAAGGATCAAACGAGTAAAGAGCCAGCTCTAAAGAAACCATTTTCCACGAGGCTGAACCAGCATATAAGAATTTCGAATTTTGCATAACAAAAAAAAGCATCTGCAGCTCATTACTCACCAGCATTCAAATCAAGTCATTTAAATTATCAAATTATTCCACCAAATCGATAAGAGTTGACACCAACCCAGATAAGCCCTATTGGGTACTGAGAAACCCCAACAAAATCACAGTGAAAAGAACAATTTTTTTATATGCCACTCGCTATAAGTGGCCTTTACCTTATATGTGTCAAGTAAAAAAAGAACAGTAAAACACAACCTTTGCCCAAAATGAACTAAACGACAACATTCTCCAACTGAATTCACTCAAGCATGTAGCTTTCTTCTTCTGTTCCATCTCCCTCAGAAAACACAAAAAACCCTCTGAAAAAATGAAAATTCTCCCCCATAAACACCAACCCACTTATTTCCATTATTCACCAAAGTAAACACTTCAATTGGAGTTCCCAAAAAAGAGGAGGAAGAAGTAGAAGCAAAAGAGCACCACTCTCAACTCTCGACTCACTCACGTCACCTTCATGTTTGGAGAGAAGAACCGGTGATTCCGAAACGATGGTCGGACTCAGTCCTGGAGAATCGTGATGCACGGCGACCCTCGAGATCGGAAGCTTCGCCGGCGCAAATAGCTTGTAACCTCGGGCCGTCGAATTCTGACCCGCCCCACCTCGATTTGGATCCTCGATGGCCCCGTGATGCAAGCTCCGAACTCGGGCTGGGCTCGGCGGAGGCGTCCCATTGTGAGCGGTGGCGTTTGATGAGAGTTCATAGCAGAAGTAGGGAGGGAGCGAAGGGCAAAAGGGTCATTTCAAGATGCAACTTTTGTTTTGTGGGTGTTGTGTTTGTGTTTTGTGTTTGAAGGTTGTGTTGTGTCAGAGATGCTGTAAGAGCAGGACTCAGTTGACTTACAATGTTGGATCTCTCTTTCTCTCACAAACAACTCACTCACATGTCTGTGACTCTCTTCCTCTTCTCTGGTCTTTTAAACCTTCTTTCTCAACATTTTTTTTGTTTCTTCTCTGTAACTAACTCACACATCACCAAAAAAAATCATCCTGGAAGGAGGTTGCTGGGAAGTGGTCTATTAGCTATGACCTTCAGATTTTTGGTTGGAGTATATGCGTAGGCTTAATTTATAGTTACACTACGCGGACGTGGGGTGGCGATGTTTCTCTTCTATATCTTTTTCTTCTTTCTTTTTTCTAGAACTAACTTTGCAAATTATAGACGACTGTGGTATCTTTGTCAACGGGCCTCCAAATAACAATAGCAATATCATACAGCAGGAGAAAGTAAAAAACTTTGCTTACGTTCAGTTATAGTGGGTTGCTTACAATCACTAGCTGATAAACCATTCAATTAGTTTAGGTTTATTGGTTTACTCAGAATTATATATGTGGTTTCTTCTGGCTGTTTATTACGGAATTTCCTAGGTTTATTGATTGCTGTTTGAGGCCTTAGGGTTTTCAGATATTCTGGAACTTGCTGTTTTTTGCCTTTTCCCTCCTCTCCTTTTTATTGGTTTTCTGAGAAGATAAATTGTTCCTTGTATCTTTCTGTGCATTATAATTTTTCATCACTCCACAACTGTTGCTCAAAAAGCTCATAGTTTAAATATTTTTTGTCCATGCGTTGCAGGTGGAGTCTTCACCAACTACAGGGTCCCTACCCTCCGCAAGCTTCAACAAACAGTACATGGTTCTAAGGCCTCTGCTACATTTGCAGTAACCACTGCATGCTTCAATACCAATACTGTTGATGACAGGAAATCAAGCTTCTTTGAGTTTAAACCGCTCAACAGGTTGAATATGGTAATGCAATTGATGTTGGCAACACTTTGATTAAAATAAATTTCAAATGACATGGACGAATGGGCTCAAATTTTGTTTTCTATCCTGATTTTACTTGGTTTAAATCTGTATACTAACTGACAAAACAAGATAGGATAATTCTTCAGAATTCAAATTTATCAAGATGGATATTACTCATACTTTGTTCGCATGAGACAAAATAAATTCTGAAGTCTTGTTTCATTTGAATGGTTTTATATTTACAGTCGTAACATGATTATAGTGTTAGATAAAAAAAATGGTGTTTCGATGTTCTGATTAATATTATTTTGAAGATTTGCTAATTTCATAGCAATTTATCCATGCTATTTGCTCATGTTAAGGTTCCTGCAGACGTTCAATAACCGATGTTAATCAAACAATCAACTCAAGCAGCAAGATTCTAGGAAAAGCATAACAATCCATTTCGCTTTCCCTCACCATTAGTTTGAAAGATGAGATAGCAGTTCCGTGCTAACGAATTAAGTCTATCATCACCTGTACAAATGGTTAGTTTTCTAGTCCTAGATTGCTCCTGTTGATGTTGGATTTGGGATGACGTTAACCACAAAAGCAAACACAGCTAGCTGTGGCTTCAAGAATCGCATGTTGAGGTTAGAGGCAAGGAGTTTCATTGCAGCTGAAAAACATCTGATGATGGATACATTGGCGAAAATAGGGCAAAAACTTGTGTTAAAGGAGTGAATTTCCACGCAGTTATTACAATGTACACATCCTAACTGTGAAGTGAAAAAACTGTTTGAACGCTCTCATGATGGTCAAATCGCGGAGATAATTTACAAGGGAACACATGATCATCCTAAACCTCAACCAAGCTGCCGATACTCTACTGGTACTATTATGTCTATTCAAGTAGAGAGATCCGATAAGGATTCTTCTTTGGCTGGCCTAGATGGTAATACCAGCCAGATGCTTATCATAGCTTCCATGTTAATATAACTTATTACAGAGAAATAAGCTGAATTTCTTTTTCTTCTAATTTTTTCTTGTAGACAAAGCATCCTCCATGTATGGTCAGTTGTCCCATGCTGCTGAGCGCAACGTGCTTCTGAGCCATCAACCATAGCACCAAACGATGATGGTTTAGAGGGTGTTGGGTTTGGTGTCAAACAGGATAGTGATGACACTGATGATGAATATCCCTTCTCAAAGCGAGGTATGACAATTTGGTTGAAGCTCTGAAATTCTTCAGCATTGTGCCCACTTGCTGCTGCTGATTTTTTTTCTTTTTTGTTGAGTAGAAAAATGGAACTTGGAAGGTGTTGACATCAACTCCTGTAGTTAAGCCTATCCGGGAGCCACGGGTTTTGTACAAACTTTGAGTGAGGTTGATATATTGGAGATGGTACGCTGGCGTAAGTATGGGCCAAAAGGTGGTAGAGGCAATCCTAACCCAAGGTATGTCCTCACTGAGAATAGAAGTTAAATTAATAAATTCATTTAATGTATGTGATGTGTCAAATGATTTTTTTTACTATTGTCAAGCATTTGGTCTTGTACTTGCTGTGTAGACAATAATTGAAGTGAGGAATTAACATGATATAATAGTTTTTTGAAACTTGAATATTCACTTTTCAATCTTTATTTTTATCATGATTGTTGTTAGCTAGTCTCTCGCATTGAGACCCCTGTTGCAACGCTATAGCTTCACCTTGTCCATAAACAAAGTCTGCATCTTTCACTAGATTATATTCAGACATGCAAATGCGAGGGCTATATATATATATATATATAAACACACACACACACAAAGTTGTAAAAGAAGGAAGAAAGTTTATTATTGTTATTAGGCTCTTGTTAAAAGTAAGCTAGACAAATGAATCCCGTAACAGAACATTTTGGTATGGATACTTTTGATGGAGCTATGGGCAGGTAGATGATATTTTACAGTTTCAAGAACAGCATTGGACAAAATAACTTGTTAGATATTAGGTGGAGGAATTTCCTCTTGGATGACTTTGAAAAGCTGTTTTTAATATTCATTCAGAAGCTTTTTATTTTTCTCCTTTGTAGTATAAAGTTGTTGAGAATGAGGAACTAGAGTGATTAAATTACTTGCATGGGTATGACAAACTGAAAATTAATAGCATGATTGCTAAAATTTTGCTACGAAGCACGGTGGAGAATTAAAGTGGCAGTAGACTATTAATTATAGGAAAGTATTGAGGAGTAGATGTCCCATCCAAAAGGAAAGAAGCAAACATTATTTTTGTATATACCCTACCAAGTTGTGAGAAAATTTAGGGTGCGGGGAGGGGAAGGACAAGAAGATATTCATATCATTTGCAGGCTTTATACTCAGTCATAAAGATTGAAGGACATGTGGACAGTGTATTTTATTTTGTTCATGAGGAAGTAGGATTACTATGTTGCTTGTTTTAATGAATGACTGGTGTATCTGTTCCCAATGTCACAGCTAAACTTGCTGTCATTGATGAAGTCAATAGACGTTTGTGAGCATTAGTTATAAGTTGGGCTACATATACATGAATTAATTTTGTTGTTATAGTTGTCCTTGGTAGTGTATGTGACCACCCTTTCTATTTCATGGAGACAATCATCATGTGGATGTCATTATTAAAGACTCAAAGGTTTACTTCTCATGATTCCTCTGCCGATATTGTGTGCTGTGTGGCTACTTCAGGACAGCTTTGAAAAGCATGGAAGTCAAATCAAATATGTGCTTTGTAGACCTTGATATTCTTGTTGCATGTTTATGATCCATCCTTATGATTCATACTAACTGCAGTGCTAAAATCTGCTACTCAACTACATATTTCTTGTTAACCTTGTATCTTACTATGCTGCTTATGTAGGAGTTATTACAAATGCACAAATGCGGGTGCCCTGTCAGAACATGTGGAGGGGCATCTCATGATCCAAAAGCAGTGATAACCACATATGAGGGTAAACACATCATGAATGTACCAGCTGCAAAGAATAGCAGCCATGACAGGGCAGTAGCTGCAGCTGGACAGACAAGAATTAAGTTGGAAGAAAGTGATACTATTAGCCTTGACCTTGGGATGGGAATTAGCTCAGCTGCTGAACATAGATCAAACGCACAAGGGAAAATAATGCACTCTGAATTTGGGAGCACTCAAACTCACACTAGTAATTCTAATTTCAAGTTTGTTCATACTACCTCAGCTCCAGTATACTTTGGTGTTCTAAATAACAGCTCTAATCCCTATGGTTCTAGAGACAATAGGAGTGATGGTCCAGCTTTAAACCATGCCTCGTATCCTTGCCCACAGAGCATGGGAAGAATACTAATGGGTCCATGAAGTTGATCACACAACAGACATGAAAATAAAAGTTCTGAGTAACATTTTACTTTGTTTTTTAATTTTTGGCGGGTATAGCTTCAAAGGTGTAACGTCTCATTTTCTGTACGGAAATGCAGATAGTTCTTTTATGTTTATATCACTATTTGAGAGCTGCCGTTATGTAGAATTGGTAGCAGCTCCATCATGTTGACTTTAATCTCTGAATTTATAATATTTATTCATAATCCAAATTCTTCTGTATAAATATGAGGCTGTGTCAAAGTTACTCCTACAAAACCTTGTAAAAGTGCCATAAAGCCTTTTGCTAAATATTGTATCTCGTGTTCGTATTCCACGCTTGGTTAGACTTGGTCCCTAGTCCCCACTGCAATGATTTTCAAGTCGTCATACCCCGTGATTTGATGATCTGTTTTTGGATCTAATGAAGTTGGACTGCACGTGATCCGTAATATTTGATATTCTTACTGTTTTGTTTAGATTAGACTGCATAATTTTTGATCTTGTTTGGAAATGGAGCACGGATTTGGTTTTTTCACAATCAAAGTGAAGGCTACCAGTTTTTAGCTTTATGCATTTCTCTCATCGTTTTCATGATTTTTCTGATCTCTGAACGTGTTTCAAAACACCCTCTTGCGTGACTGACAAGGATGTGAGGTGAGATAGATAACCATTAGATTTTTACATAGATAGATGTGTCTTCTCAATTCACAGACAAAAAACTCGGTGGACGTTATATTATACGTAGTTACGTACATATATGCCTTATCCTTACTTTGGCAACTGATAAAGCGAAATCCCTTGGTTTCAGCATTAGAAAAGGACACAGTCCCTTTCAGACTGTAATTTGGAGGGGGGGACCAGCATTGCCGAGTGTGCTGTGCTTGTTTGTTTCTAGAAACTTGAACAGAAAGAAAAAAATAGTGTTTTCTTTTCTTTTTTCTTTTTGCAAATTTCCTAGTACATTCCATTATCATTAGTTTAGCAGCTATATTGTATTCAGTTGTCACATGTCAAGACGTGATTAGCATAGGCAGAAGAATTTTAGGTGCATTCAAGAATGTTTCTAGAAAGAGAAAAAGAGCTGAAAGGTTGCATAATTAGAATTGAACGTGCAAGCTTGATGAAATACCAAGATGAACTTTAGAACTATTTTTACAGTAAATGATATCAGCAACCGAGATTTGCATAATGCTAGCCTTGGCATCTTGATGAGTGCACACGCCTTGATGACGATTGGATTCCTCTTGGCTTTATCTTTGAACCGGTCTGACATGTTCACGTTGGCCTTTAATTGCGATGCAAGTAAAGTACAACTTTCTTAAATTCATATATTTGTCTTAGCTTAATCAGGACTGAAGAATCATGCAGCCACGTCTTGCTCCATTTGTGGAACCAAGATGTATAGATTCCGGGCTGATCCTTGTCCCCTCAGAGTCAGATGAAACCACCCATGAGCACAATTCTGCATCCTTATCATACCATCATTTGAACCTTCCATGCATTAAGCCAGCTCAATGGTTCTAGATTTTACACAAACAAACACTAAATTAGAGATAAGAGAGTTTGATCTCTTACTTGCTTTATTTGTCATGTAAATGGAAAAGCAGTTGCAGTGCTAGTGGCATGACTCTTTATACCAAAGAAAAAAGACAACCATGTTTCTGCATGATTGTGTCTTTGATATGTGAAGCGACTTTTCTAGAACCATATACAACGACAGCCGATATTCTATGTTGGTCTTTAGACTCCAGCAGATCGCTTTTTCTTTTTCATAAATCAAAAGAGAAACTATATTTATACAATAAGTTTAAAGTCTGTACAAAAAGAAAAATAATGTTGTAAAAGAAATACAGAGAAAAACTGATACTGCAAAAAGTCTTCTATGAGTAATATAGCTAAAAATAAGGTTAAACACATTTCATGATTGAACTGGTGCAGTTAAGGAATCTACCTTTTTAGTACAAATTTGATTGGCTTAGCATTGATATTGACATTGTAAGTAAATTTAAATAAACGACCGCTGGACCAAAACTGACAAAAGAGCAA